TTCTTTAAAAGAAAGAAAGAAATGCGAGTTAAAAAACGATAGAGGAAAACTGCAGGCAGCGGCAAGTTTCCTTTTTCGCTAGCACATTTTTCACTGCCATGTGCCAGTCTGATGTCGTTTTTCTCTTTTCCAACACTGCCACCTGGGGAATTTAGGTGTGCATGCGTGCGCTTAGCATACCCCAAAACTCTGTAACCTCTGGACACCCACCGCTTTGCGGCTGGCAAAAACTTCAAGCGAGCTGCTCAACCTTTTAGGTTTTTCATTCTTTCTTTTTTTTTTCATTTTATTTTATCCGTTTATTGCGGTTAAGCAAAAATAATGTTTTTTTGCCTTTACTCCCTACCCCATACTTACATATATTATGTTATACGAGAATTCTCCAGCGGCTTTTGCGTGCATTTGGCCGCTCTTAATTCCATTTATTATATTACTTTTTATTTGCTTAATGTGTAAATTGGGCTTGTTTAAGGTCGCTTGGCTTAATTTGAAAATAAATAAACATTGTATTGATTTTCTATAAGATTGTTTCATCCAAAAGATTAAATAAAGAAAATAGAAACAAAAAATATATTGTTTTATTATTTACACACGCATATCTTTTTATGGCATAGACGTCGCTTTGACGTTTGAAAACGACATAGCTCAGCGGAAATCGAAATCATGATCATGGAAAACGAAATTAATTCTTTTTGAAGCGACATAGCTTCGCCGACATATCCCGCCAAGCGGCGGAGCTATTTCGTTTCAAAACGACATAATTTCAGTTTCCATGATCATGATTTTGATTTCCGCTGAGTTATGTCGTTTTCAAACGTCAAAGCGACATAATTCCGCCGGCAAAATGTACAGGGCATAGCTCCGCCGACATAAAAACGGCATAACTCTGCGCGGAAATATTTCGTTTGTAGAGCCGCGCAGATATGTATGTTATCCCCTTTTTATTTCTCTCGCATTCAATATGCTATTTAATGCCAAAAAGAGGGTTGAAGTCCGTTTCGTACATGTGCCGCCTTTGCCACAGCTTGCCCAACAAGCAGAGTGGCGCAGTGGAAGCGTGCTGGGCCCATAACCCAGAGGTCCGAGGATCGAAACCTTGCTCTGCTATAGGAATTTACGTGATGTAAAGTAATTTTTTTCTTTTATAAAAATTTGCTGTAAAGTAATTTTTTTCTTTTATAAAAATTCGAGGTAATTGATATAAAACACATTTTCGATTTTTTGAATTTATTTCATGTGTTTTTATTGTATTTCATTGTTTTTGTTTGTTTGATGTTTGTTTTTCATGTTTTACTTTACTGCTAAATAACTTTAAATGTTGTATATTCTTTACCATATTCGTTCATATATCTTCAACTTTTTCTTGTCTCTTGTTCATGTTCTTGTTCTTGCTGTTTTAGTTGTTGTTGTTCTTGCTATTTATGGAACTGCAACAAAATGACGCTGTTTGCTGTGCATCTCTTTATTTATCATCTTTGCTCATCTTGTTCTTTACATGTATATAATAACTAAATTTGCTTTATAATAATAAATATAATAATAGTTAATAATGATTTGTTTATTAAATATTTTTAAAAAATGTTCGTTTTTAGGAGTATAATTATCATCATCATTTCTTATCATCATTCTCTTTATCATCGTTATAATCGTTGCCAAACGTTCTGTAAACGGGTTCTTTCTCTCGTTTCGCACGAGCTTCCATTTCGTTTAATGCGCTCGTTTACACAGTGTCAATTCATGATTTCGTTAGATTTTCCCAATTCGCTCATTGCATGACTGCAGCTTAAGAACTATTATTTCAATTCATCATTGTTTTGTATATATTTATAGGTAATTGTATATACTAGTTCATTAATTAATGTATATAATAATAAGTATATATGTTAAATACAAAATAATACACACGTTTAGTACGTTTGCATGTATGTTAAAATGAAAAAAAACAAACTACAAAAATATACAATATTTGAACACACAAAACAAATGAGAGAAGAATCTAAGTCCAACAACAAACAACTTTCATGAATATCACAAAAACATAAAATAATAATAATGTTAATAATCTGATTAAAATGAAGTACATAAAACACAAAAACCTATATTGTAGAACACTTTGCAAACTTAAGAGTTAAAAACAATAGATCGGGGGCTGGGTTTTCAAGAACGCGCAAAGCCCATTGAAAACAATATAAAATTCGTTGATATCACCTGACAAAAATGAAAGACTACTTACAGTTAACATATACACATACACATGAGTATGGGGTACTATATAAATATGTGTATGTAAAGTGGTATTACATTTAATTAGAATTAAATTAGAATTAAAAATTAATTTTTATACGCACGCTTAAGTTGTTCACACCTAGTTACTTTTTAGTTTTCTTTCATATCCTTTTTTTAATTTTGTTTCTCTGCCCGCTTTTGGTTGCTGTTTTTTTTTTTTGTTCTTGGGTTTGTTTTTGTATTACAATAAATTGTTTGTTTCTTTACGTTGCAACATTGATTCATTTTTTGTTCTATACTTTTCAATAAACACATCACATCATATTCACAATTAATAATCATAATAATCTATATATATATATATATATATATATATATAATATGTATATATATATGTATGTATATTATGTATGTGTGTGTAAATATAAACTAAAATTAACAATAATAACTATGACTTATGCTGAAAAAGACTACACCATATATTATTACATTTAATTATTATGGTTCCGCTATTGTAATTATAGTTATATAATTATAAATGTAATATTTTCTTCTTTTTTTTCGAATGCGCCATATACAAGCGTCATGTATTACATAAGTGTTAAGTGTGTGTTCTGCTCTATGTCATGTTTGTGTGTGTGTGTATATGTGAACGTTTAGTTAAACAAATTAAAAACTAGTTTGAATTAAAATTATTCAATATATATGTGAAGTATTATTCAATCAATGCACATGATCTACGCATGATATCATCATGACATTCGCTTGATAAAACTTTAAGGCAAATAAAAGTTTCGTTTCTAGTTTACACGTTCGAGAGATTCTCGTATTCTACACGCGTGCCATATAATTACACGCAACTCACGACTCACGACATTCGGGCTGTTCGTTCGTAAACAAAATTTGGGGCATCGCTTAAGTAAACATCATATGATACACAGAATCTATGTCCATATTGTAGTAGTATCCGTTTTTTACGTTTTCCTCTCTTAAATCTTACTAGCTAAAACTCTTAATTGTAGAACATTTACGTGTTTTCTTTTGTTTTTCTTTACACGAAACGTATTCCTTTGCTATTTTGCAGCTTATTGTTTTCCTCCAATTGTTTATTACATAAGTGTTAGTAACTGTTTAAAATGTTTTCGAGTTTAGTGTTGTGTAGTATTTTAATACCTACGAATATGCATTTATTTTGTTGTAAAGTACTTTTTTTTATCTTTTTTTTTTTAATTTTATTTTTAACTTTTTATTTGTTTTTTTATTTTTATTTCTGTGTGTTCGTTAATAATCTTTCGCTTGTATACAACTTGGCTTTATCGTTCAACTTTTCCTTGTTCTGTTGTTGTTGTTGTTGTTGTTGTTGTTGTCGTGGTTGCACATAGATTTAAGGTCTGCTTATAATGGACGGAAACTTATTAGGCATTTTTGTTGGAGTTGTTTTGTTGTTTAAGGTTTCTATGGGTTTACTTCTATAAAAAACGTTTGTTTAATTTGTGTTTAGGCATAGTATTTGAAGAATAGAGTGCTTAGTGTATGAATATGTTCTAGAAGAGGGTATTCGATAAGATAATACAATATGATTGTGGACATTTGAAAGAGCTATGTCAGCAGTTGCGGGTAATAAGGATCAAATCAGGATGCGACGCAAGAAATGCTGTTTGTAAATTAGAAAAGAATTAACAAATTTCCGTATATTATAATCAGCCCTTAAATGTATATGTATATGTAAAGCATAAGTATTACGCTTATAACTTTGAACGATCTTAGCTAATGTTGATTATTATTTTTATTATTATTATTTATGTATATTTGCGACGCTCTCATCGATAATTTGTGTTTTCTTTATTTATATCATTAAGTGTATTGATTAATGGAACCGATTTAAAATTACATTTATTTATATTTCAGAAACTTTTCTAATATTGATTGCTACTTTTTAATATATATATATATATATATTTATATTAAATGTTTTTACCTTTATCCAGTTTCTCTTGTTTTACAAATAAATTGATGTCAATTCTCATTCACTTAATATTGATTTTTCTTTCTACTCATTTTGTTAATGTTTCTTTTTATTGATTTCTCTTATTATTTGTTTTTTTTTTTTTTTTTTTTTTTGTTTCTTTAAAAGATCACATTTCATGTTTAGTTGCCATTAGTAAATATATAAGTATATATTTATGTATGCTTGTATTATACGTGTATATACATAAATATATGCATATACATATCTTGTATATAATAAGTAGGTTTTCTTTCCTCTTTTTTTCTTTTTGTTGTTGTTGTAATTATTGTAATTGTAATGTTCTGTTTAGTGTTGTGTAGTGTATTACGATTGAATTACATATCTCGAAAAATTAAATTTACGAACTGTAAATGAAAATCAGTATGCAAAATTTGTAAGACCATTTTGTTGAATATACATATATTTATGTTACCTTGAATGGCTTTGACGCTTACAAATTTTATATAGGAAGATACAGTACGTTAGTTTTTTTTTCTTTTTTTTTTTTTTTAATATTTTTTGTGTGTGTTTGTTTTATGAAATGTTTGCTTTTAATATTATTTTATTTTTCTAGAGATTTCAGCTAAATTAATAATACACTTTTAAAAAATTTAGTTTTCAGTGTTTCTTAATTTTCCTTTTTTTGTATTTTTTTCTATTTTTGCTTTCTTTTTACTTATGCAAAAAATGCTTACTGCTTAGATTTGATTATAATTTTAGTGTTGTTTTTGATGCTTCAACTGCTTCATTCTGAATTTTTCTTCGATTTCGCATTGTGTATTGTAATTAGTATATAAAAAAATATGTTTATTACATTTTATTTGGATTTTCGTTTGTTATTTTGTTTTTTGCTGTAGTTGCTGATTCGCTTGTTTGTTGGTTTTATAAAATGTAAAAAAAGGAATATGGTTTTCTTTTGTATTTTTAAAAAAATCCTTTGAAATTGTTTGCCTTGCGCATTTCTTGCTCTTCATCTGCTTATTTTCATTTTTGTTTGGTAGTAAATCGTTGTTGCAAAAATAGGACGTGACTGTACTTATATATTTTTTATTATTTATTTTTGTTGTTTGTTGCTCGTTGATGTTGTTTTTGTTTTAACATACTCGTATTTGTTGTTGCTGCTTAACCATGGCCTATGAATGTTTACTCGTTTTGATTAATTTTGACTATTTTCAATGTAATTTGTTGTAGACTTTTCATTAGGCTTATCGACTGCTATATTATTAACACTCCTTACTAAATGTTTACTTTCATTGTTATAATAATATTTATTTATATTTTATTTGTATTTGTATTGAAATATGGAACACTAGAGTTTAAAATAGTTTGTAACTAATTTTAATGCAACTGCCTTTTTCCCATTTTGGTATAATTATTTATTTATTTTATTTATTTATTTTTTTTTGTCAATTTCAATTATTTTAATTGCTAAATTTTTCTGTTTCTCATTTAACAACACTAAACATTTTTTTTTTTGTAATTTTCTTTTATTTTTTTGTGGTTTTCTAATATTGTAGAGTTGTCACTCAATGTTTTCTCTTTATGTATGTCGATTGTGTGTAAATCTGATGCTTACGTTAAAGTCTTGCTATACGTACGAAAAAGTTATGTAGATTTCTCAATATATATATTTTATATTTTTTAGTTTTTATTATTTTTTTTTTTGTGTTATTTCCCCATAATGTTTGTTGCTCTTGTAAATAGTTCATATCAACCTTTAATTTGCATCAAAATTTAATTCGATTCTATTTTACTGTGTGTTGCTGTCAATGCGTGTGTGTGTGTGTGTGTGCGTGTGCTTGTTTAGATGCAGGATGAGGGCGCGGCTATTGTGGCCGGCGTAACGGTGATTGTGGTGGCCGGCAGAGCAGCCACTGTGGTGGCCACCACCGGATAATGATGACCCACATACGCGTGTTGCTGATGGTGTATCAGGCCGTGATGTTGCTGCTGTTGCTGCTGCTGCGGCGTCGTGTACTTTAGGACATGTTGCTGCGGCAGCGAGATGAAGGGCGCTGCCTGAATGGGTATGCAGTTAGAATTGTAATCGCTGCTTAGCACCAGAGTAGGCGTGGCATCGGTATAGTAGGCGGGCGCCTTGAGAAATGCCGCTGTCGGTGCCGCAGCAGCAGCAGCAGCATATTGTTGCTGCGGTGTAGGCATTGTTGCCGTCGATGTGGTAGACAGCGTGGTGGCCGACGATAGTGTGGGAGATGTGGCTATGGAACAGGAGGATGATGAGGAGGCCGACGAGGGGGAGTACGGTGAGCTGCAGTGGTAAGTAATATGCTGTTGTTGTTGCTGCTGTTGCTGCTGATGATGATGTTGCTGATACATGTTGCTGGCGTGGTGTGTGGCTGCTGCTGCTGCTTTATTTGTGTTGCTGTGATAGTAGTTAGTGTTGTTGGTGTGATAACTGTATTGCTGCTGCGGCTGTTGTTGTTGCTGCTGCTGCAGTTGCTGTTGCTGCTGATGCGGCTCAATGATGATCAAATTGTTGTTGCTGTTGTTATAGCCGGCAGCAACTGCTGCTGCCGTGGTTGTTGCCACCACACTGCCAGCAGCCGCCTGCTGCTCACTGGGATTGGTGATCATGGCGGCCATTATATTGGCCGGTGGCAAGACAATCGGTATATGATAGTATTTACACTGTTTACGACGGCACTGGCTATTGGCATGATCCCGACAGACAGCAACACGTTGATCAATCACCTCGACCTTGTCATCTGTGTAGAGAATGGGGCGTGAGAATATAGAAAAGTGATCGATTAGTAGTTGGTAACATCAAGTTGTCATGGAGTTATTAGATAAACAGTGAAAGCAATTATAAAAATAATTGTTTATTTCATTTTTTTTTTTATTATTTTATTTTTAATGCCCGCGAGCAAAAGAGATCTTGAAAGCCGCTTTCTGAGTGCAACCGAAGTCTTGGTTACTCTTCAAACTTGAGGCAAAAGTGAAGTTTATTGAATATGAAGCGAATATTCATTGGGTTTGGTGCAAATGAAAACGGACTTGAGTTGAGTTTGTTATTGAATTGAATCCTACAACTTCGGCTAGAAATAGTTATCTAAATACGAAATAAATCCAATTTAGTTTGTAAAAGGTTTACAATCTTATTTGCGTGTATTTTGTGTGTGTAATTTCTTGGAAATTGATAGAACCTTAAAAAAAAAAATAAAAACAAAAAACTAAACAAGAACCAAGACAACGGGAAGATCAAATTAAAATATTTGCCAATTGAGCAAAAAGAAATACAAAATAATTTGGTATTTTCTCTCAACTACAAAATATAAAATGGAATTTTCTTGAAACAATCGCTAGAGGAAAAGCGTTTAAAGCAACAAAACTAAATACTAGAACTAAAACTAAATGCTACAACTAAAAACTAAAGAACTTAAGCACATGCACTTACCTTCAGTTAAATGAACGAATCTACAATTTAACCGACTGCACATAGATCTATTAAAATCTTGGCACACCGGGAGGGTGTCCAGTAACTATATAGATTTTTGTTTATTTGCATAAACAACATGAGAATTTATATATTGTTTGTTTTTTTTTTTTTAAATTGTTTTTTTTTTTTTTTGGGTATGGCAGGATGCAAATGTAGTAAAGAAACCAATTGACAAAATAATAATTAAATTTTTGTTTGTTGTGGTTTCAGAGTGTTTTTGATATTATTTTGGGAATTTTCGGGGTTTCGTTTGAAAAAAAGAGAAGAGCAGAAAAAGAAAAGAAAAAGAGCACAAATTAGTTATATTCTTATAATAATCATATGATACACTAAAATTGTTAATGGTTGTTAGATTTATTACGCTTGGTGTACATTTCTCTTTTTTTTTTCTTTAGATTTTTCAATGTTAGTCGCTGTTTAATAAAATAGTTAACAGGGTTTTTCATTTCATGATAAATACATTAATCGTATGTTAGACTAGTTTTTGACTTAAATAATCTTAAAATAGGCAATAGGAGAATAAATTATAATATGGCGGCGCAAATGAATTTAAAATTCTCTTAAGAATATGTTTTGCGAATGAATCCTGGAAAATGGGTCGCATCTATAAAGTATGTGTTCTAAAGTTTTCGGTGTTTGGAGCGTGAAGTTCGGTGTCATTAACTTTGGTAACTTTGATGATAATCAAAATGAAAAAAAAGTGTTTTTAAACATAAATTTGTTTGTTCTTGATTCGAAAAACTTAAATGCTAAGCTTAAAAATAAAGTTTGCCACAAAAGCTTTAAGTCGAACTTAGGGAAATCTAGAAATCAATGTGGAAATAAAACACCTTTAAAGCAGCAAGTATTGGACAACTAAAACTTAGCTTTTGAAAGAGCCAACGGTATATGGAGAAGCCAAGAAGCTTTCAAGCACAGCATAGAGATAGACAGAAAGACAGAGTGGGAGAGCGAGAAAGAGCTTTAGGTCTGTAACACTCACTTTTTGATAAGGTTTTGAACGCACGCGCCTTAGTTACGAAATATATAGATATATATTTGTATATATATATGTATATATGTATAATACAAGAAAAGATTTAGTCATTTTGATTGATTGCTTAAGTTCTAGTGGGCTGAATTATGCAGTAACAGTTACATATCCTAATAGGCGGCACTAGAAATATAAGAAAAAAGAGAAAGAGAAAGAGAGAGAGAGAGAACGTAATACATACGCAATGTTAATTTGTATACCATAAAATATGACGCCTGTGTTTTTTTTTATGTTTTCGAAGAAACAGTCAAAAAATTTGTAAGGATAACACAATAAGAAACAGAAAATTATAACGTAACCAAATCATAAATTTGGCCTTGAGTAGCGCGCAAAAGCTGCTAAAGCTAACTGAACATGAAAAGCTTTTAAGCTTAAATACAGCGATCGCCTTAAACGCGCGCGAAAGCTCAAAGCTCATTGCCAGATATGCGATGCTATTATATGAGTATTTTGAGTAAGTATATCAAAAGTGTTGCTTGGCACACAGATTTTGGGTGGAATGCAACAGGCACACAATATTAGAGTGAGCGAGACAGATATATAGAAAGAGAATATGGAGAGTGGGGGCGGGGAAAGTATCGTAAACGTATTCAATGTAAATAAAATTTAAATTGCTCGCCGCTCTTTACCTAATTATATAAAATGTGCCGTTCATTAGCATAGGACACTGAGTGTATAATACGCCCCGTTCCGGCTGGGCTGTGTTTGGTATCAAATAGAGAGAACATTGATTACGGATTAGCTGGATAGTCGATGGGAGTCTATAAGGTACAATTATTCAGTTTTTGTTGTTTAAATATTTGTTTTTTTGGTTTTTATCATTTTCTCAACTTATGGCTGCTGCTGTCTTTGGCAAATATTGACGCCAGATGGAATGTGTGAGTTGTGTGTGTATGAGTGTGGGCGTGTGTATGTCTGTGGGCGTATTCCTGTGTGCGTATTGGGTCAGACATTTGTGCAAACAGCTGCTAACAGCTCTGACACTCAAAGGTGTGTCCATGTCAGGGCGCTGACATCATCGCTGACAATGTTGGCAACGCCTTCAAAATGGCCGTCGACACTTGTTCATCCTTGTCGTTGTTGTTGTAATCATAGTTGTTGCTCTTGCTCTTGCTGTTGACGTTGTTGTTGTTGTTGTTGTTTTTGTTGTTGTTGTTGTTGTTGTTGTTGTTGTCGTTATGGTCTGGCGCTGTCGTCGTTGTCACTAGGGGCGCGGCAGCGCATTTAATTTGATTAACCCAATTCACGCAGGGAGTGTTGAAATGTGTGCCACTGTAGCTGCATACCCTTCCCGCATACAGGGTACTACAGCTGTGACACGTTGTTTGTTCAGCAGGTGCGGTAATGTTACTTTATTTTGACAGAACCAAGTCTATATATATTAATATATAATAATTGCTTAGTTTTTATAAATGGTGTTCGATGTGAAACCCTTTCGCTTGAGGTTCTTTTTAAAGCGACTCTACACTCTAAGATCGGACTATAATAGTGTGTGGGGTATTTTCAGCGAAGGGTATTTGAATTTCGGCTGGCCGGATGTTTTTAAATTTACTTATTTGATATGAATAACAGTAATCGTCTTTTTAGAATGCAATTTGACACTTGCGACTAGATAATTATATACTTGCTGCTCTAATTGCGTTTTATTTCTATATGATTATAAACATAAAATACAATTTATCACTAATCTTGACTTGAATGGTATTTGGGTGTTTGTTTTTGTTGCCTTTTGAAACAGAACTTAAAACTAAATAAAAATTAGAAATGTTAATCGTAAAATGTAAGCGCAATGTACGCTAACATGCAAAAGATATTGTATTAACAGCTGCATAGCATGCTGCTAACAGACTGTTAGACTGTTAGCTTCGCAAGCAGTCACCAAGGGCAGAGACTGTACCTGGCCGCTGGCATCGGTGTAGATAACACAGGAAGCATTAAGAGGTGGCATTTTAGTGTTTGCTATAATTATCGATAATCACAAGCCGGCAAAACATGCAATTTGCATTTTGGTCGAAAGGTGTTAAATTATATTTAAATATAATATATATGTGTGAGGTGAGTGGTAGAAGAATAGATAAAAATGTGTGAACGAAATTGTTGCATAGTTTTATTGTTTGTTGTTGTGGTTTGATTTTGCGGTTTGATCAAAGTTGGTATCCATGCAGCGTTTGGCAAGTGTGTGTTTGTGTGTGTACATTTTGTATTATTATTTGGTTGCATTTTGCCATTTAAGTCCCAATCCGTGCGAGTTTTTTTTTGTTTGGTATTTTTCATTCGTTGAAAATATAAAATTTGGTTGCATGCAAATTGAAGAGTATTTTATTGTTTGTTTATTATTTGAACGCATATGTGTTAGCATGTAAATGGAAAAAATATGAAATTAGTAGAAATAATATGAGTACATATATATATGTAAATAGAGGATTGCTGATAAATAAAATTTTAATTAGTTTGCTTTGACAGAGGCTTAAATTAAGCTTAAGCTGCATTTGCAATACAACAAAAGTTCGTCAGAAAGTGGGCGATTTATTCTTGCAAGTGTATCTCTACGTTATTAACATTGGTTAAATCATCTGCAAAGTCAATAGTTCTTAATCTTTTAATCTGTTTAATAAACTGAAAGTTGAGCTGTTGTTTCTCCCAAGCCTATCTTTTACGCTTCCCTTCAGCTAACCTTTAATTGAACTCTCAACTGCGCCATAATTACGTTTGAATTTCATTTTATGCAAATTTAACAGACGCCCAAACCAAAAAACAAAAACACCAAAAAAAAAAAAAGGAAACTCTGAACCAGACAAAAACACGAGTTAATAAATGTAAATTAATGACACGCCTTTCCTGTACGTCCATTTGTGTGCTGCAATTACGCTTCGGTTTTTTATGCTCTACTCATTACAGTTCTTGTTGCCCTAACTTGTTGCTTGTGCCACACACAAAAAGTTGTGCCACACGTTTTTGCTGAACCAGAATTTTGTTGCATGGCATATGCAAATGGCAAAACGCACTTAAAGCTAGAATAAATTAGTTTAAGGACTATTTAACTATTTAAGCATAATATTCAGGTGTCTATCGATAGGAGCCTGTAAGCTGTAAGCGAATTAGTAAAAGTGTTGCATACAAGTTGGGCGCGTCTATGTAAAAGCCATGTTAACTGTTAGCAGAAGCTGTAAAATAAAGTGTAATAATCAACTGCAAGTAATTTTTTATATAATATAATCGAACGAAAAGCACGCGCAAAAGCCATGAAAGCAAAAAGAGCAGCAACTGAAATAAGAAAAAAATGGCATCAAAAAATTATGTAAATTAAGGCAGGGGAAAAAAATATATAAATAAAAATTATAAATCAGCACACGGCAGAAAAAATTGTTTTTTTTTTTTGTGAAGCGCATTTTAAATTTGTTACTGGCGCAGCAGCTGTAATTAAAAAACAAACAGTCAATTTAAATACATATATAGTTATATATTATATTATTATATCTAAACATAGGCAGTTAGTTTAGCAAGCGCTCTAGGCAAATATCAGACAAGACACGCACACATAAACAACAGTTAAAAAATGAATAATTAAAAAAAAAAACTTAAACAATGCGAATACTTACTACATTAAGTACATACAAACAAGCCTGCAAAAGTCGATGAAATATAAGTACAGATATATATATTTATATATCACATATTGCTAAATATAGTTATTTTACCACGCTGACTGGCTTGTGTGTGCGAGCGAGTGTGCGTGTGTGTGTGTACTGAAAAGAAGGCTACAATTTTCGTTTACTTAATATCCAGAACAAGTCAGAATTGAAGCAACAGTTAAAACGCATCTGATATGCAGCTCAGTTGTGTGTATGTATGTGTGGGGGTGTGTATGCATGTGTATCTGTATAATTTAGTTCTTAAAGCTCTTAACGTTTAACAGTGTCTGCAAGCGTTGAATTTTCATTGGCTAATTTCGAATATGGCAGCTAAATAGCTCTGAGTGTTGTTGTTGTTGTTGTTGTGGTTGTTGTTGCATGTATTTGTTTTGTGGTTAACATATGTTGTTTCATTGTGATCAGCATACGGTCATACATAATACTTGCGTAATCCATGTAAAAAGAAAAGGAGTCATGTTAATAACATTGCTTGCAACAGGTGCACCACATCATTTTATCATAGATGACAGCCAAAGAGAGCAGAGAGAGTAAATGTATATTCTTTTCTTTTCATTAGAAATAAACGTGCTTTTGCTTTAACTCCTTAAGCAAGTGGCTTTCGAATAAACTCTTATTGAAATCTTAGAATTTATATAATTGTGACGTTAACAATGAGAGATAATTAAGGTTTTTAAATATTTTAAAGTTCAAGTAGCAAGAGTATTTGTTATTTGGATAAATTCGTATCAAATGCGGGGTATCATTAATGTTAAATTTCAATAAATTTTAACATGAGTTCGAAAATTACCCATTGATGTTGAACAGTTCTTAAAGCCTTAATATGAAAGCTGTAAAGCGCACTAGGTTGCAGATATCTCTCTGATTTCTTTAGCAATTTAGCATAAATAACTAAAAATAACACTACAATCGAAAAAAAATGATATATTCATACTTAGCGGCTAGTTAACATAGTTACTAAATTCAAATATGTTTGATAATAATAATATACATACGTACGAGTAAAACAAAAGCTCATTGGGCAGTGCACCAGCTTACCTTAGAAGTGCGTTTTAGCTTATACGAGTATTGTAGCTCATTTACCATCATACCACATGCCTGAGAAGCCAAATACGAGTATAGTAAATAAACGTAATGTATTTAGCGGGTACTTCGCAATTTCAATCACAGTTAGCATGAAAGTGACAGCCACTTGCAACACAGGACTTGCAACTTCAAATGTTGGCGTAGGTTTTTTTTTTTTTTTGATTTTCTTTAATATTTCTTAATTTCTTATTACTTTTCTTTTGATTTGATTTTTAATTTTGTACTTGCTACGAAAGTTCTTGTTTCATTGAGCACATGCTGAAAAATTACAATACGATACGCTCCAAAAGGAATTTACGAAATGATAAGAGAACAGAAAAACGAATTCAACGAACATGAGATACGTAACATGTAGAAGAGAAACGTACTTCCCACTATTTAAAGGGGATATTAAAACAACCTGTACGAGTGTTACGTGTACAAGTAGCGAATGGTAACAGCAAAACAGAGGGAGATACAGAGAAAGAGTAAGAGGCAGACACAGAGAGAGAGAGAGAGAGAGAGAGTAGAGAGATCAAGAGTGAAAGAGATACACAATAGAATGGGACATTGAAAAGATTACTGCATTGTTTTGTGTTGTGTGCGTGTGTTTGTGTGTGTGTGTGTGTGTGTTTGGAAACTCGATGGAAACTTTTGTAATGCATTCAAAGAAAGGCTAAAAATTGCAACTTCTCATAATAATAGGTATTATTCAGACTCATATGGGTTCTCTTTTGTAAGACTTTTGTAGTTTCAGTTTTTCTTTTATATTACTCAGTTGGAAAACATGCAAAAGACTTTTAGATGGTGGGAAAGTGTTATACTAGAGTGTATAGAAAGAGATGGAGAGAGAGAGGCAAAATGTTATTTAGAATTAAGACGAAGAGTTAAAGAGAGCAAAATGTTAGCGAAAATAAAAAAAATGTTTTAAAGCGTTTCTTTGAAACATTACAAAAGCACTTAACTCTAGAGATATATATAGGCATGTATATATATATGTATATATAAAAATATATATATTTATATTGTTTTGTTATAATATTTGCATATTACGGTTCCATACACATAAACCAATTATTTTTGAATACGAGCTCGAGCAAGCCATGTGTTGAAAACGAGTACTACGAGTACTATCTTGGTTATGGAGTGTACGTGTGTGTGTGTGAGTGTCTGTATATATCGATAAGAAAGTTAGAGTCGAGCAGAGAGCACATTGATATACGCCTAACATATACCAGTGAATTGAAAAGAAGCATATGGAAATTATTTAAATGTTTTTAGTACGCTTTTAAAATGAGCAGCAAAATAAAACGAGGCTTAAATAAAGTTGGGGAACTTAAGAGCTAAATGGTCAATCGGTATAATATCTATATAAACTCACAGTAAATAGCAAAATAAATTGAAATTTTTTAATAGAATATAGGACAATGCACAGCAAAAACTTTTGGTATTAGTAGTGTGTTTGTGTGTGTGTGTGTGTATTAGTGTGTGTGTGAGAGAGAGAGAGAGAAAGAGAAAATGTACGCAGAATATTAGTGTTAAGTTTGCCATTGAGCACTTTCCAAGGTTACGAGTTAAGTAAAAGAAGCAACAAGTTTTTACGGTTTTTACAATAAAACGTTTATATAATTTTCAATATATTTTTGTTAATTTTTGCATTTTTGTTTTGTATTAGTTTTTATGTTTTCTTTTTAACGCATAGTTAATAAGACTAATTTTTGTGTAATTTTTTTTTTTTTTTGTATAGCACATAGAACATATTTATTAAAGTGTTTGCTTGTATTGGTTGCTTTGTGTATAAGTTGTGTATAAGTTATATATATATATATATATATATAGGTATACGATTTTTTTTTATTTTATTATAAAACAATTTTGTTGTTTTTTTTTCACTTTCAAATGTTACCAACTTAGATTTCTCTTTGCTCAACATACATACATGCATTAGTTAACTTAGATACACTGAAGTTTCTTGCTTGTTCCTTTTTGTTTTTTTTTATTTTTTATCAAATATACTTGAGATATTGGTAGCGCTAGGTTTTGTTAAGTAAAATAAAAGAGAAATGCAAAATGAAATTGGCATCGTTTTGCGATGCGCTTTATAGCCATACATTAATTTGAAATTGTTTTATTGATGTAAGAGATTTTTCCCAGTGTGCTTGTTTGTTGCGCAGTATGTGTCTTTCTAGTATGTGGTGTTCTTTACAAAAAACTGTGCTGGTTATTAACTCTCATCTACAAAAT